CTTCCCCCCCCCAAAAAAAAATCTCTATAAAAGGTCGTCTCCCCCGACTGCAGCGAGGACGTCTCCATGAAGAAGGACAGCGTCTTCATCCGCTCCTTCAAGGATGGCAAATTGTGAGTCCAGGTGTTTTTAACATCCCTCTGTCGCCCCCACCTGACCGTTAGCGGCCCTGGGGGAGAATCGCGTCGGAAAGGAGGGAAATCACATTACTTTTACTAACAGGGTGTAACTGTAAGGGGGGGCACTGTCTCTGACTTGACAAAGGCTTTGCGAGATGCCAGCTGTGTGGACGTGGCGATGCCGGGATTTCCCCTTGCTCGGGGGGCGCTCTGGGCCTTCCTAGTACACCGGAGGCCAACTGAGACGCCAGGTCTGGGTCTGTTTAACGCTAAGGCCCGGTGTGGGGGGTGAATGAGGCAGGGTCCTCACCCCCAGCCCCTGACAAATGGCTGATGGTCACACTGTTTGGGGCTCTGATATCCCCAGGGTAGATTTGAGTTACAGGCCGGACAGTCAAGGTGAGCGATCGAAATCTGTGCGACCGTACGTGTCAGCTACAACCCCCCCCCCTCCCCCCCACTCTGATCTGCTGTTTTAAGGAAGAACATAACAGCCAACCCAGGCAGCTGGCTGTAGTGGCGTGTTGGCATTTCCTAAACTAGTCACCTCTAGCGTCACCTGCTGGGATGATGGAAAAAAGTATAATATCAGATGGGAAATATGGGGCTTTGGAGCTGAAGTGCATGTTTAAATTGCGATTCCTACAGATATTAAAAAGAGAGGAAGCCGTTGGTCCTGCTTTATGTAGGCAGTGAGGTTATATTCAACACCTCCTCCCACCTGTGGCGAGGTCATCACACGACGCCGGTCGTGGCTTTCCGACCCCGAGAAGACGAAACCTACGTCTTACTCCATAACGAGAGTCATTCCCAAGAGCTGAAAAACGTGTCCGGCCGTTAATCGTGTCTGTAGTGAAACTGAAGAGAACCAGTAGGTGTCTGAATGCCGGACAAGGCGCCCTTAGTGTACTTCAGCAGTGATATGCTTTGAGAGCGGATGAAATCCCTCCTAGTGTCACGCTTTCCACTTCAACATATATTGCTCTAAGCTGAATGTTATAAATGTAATGTGAGTAGCCTTTGATGGAATAAAATGATATTCAGTCTTACTTAATTAAACCTCAGTATAATGAAATCCAAATTAACATTTTAACATCTCTCAGTAGCATTCTGTGTAAATTAATGTTTTATAATGAACCTCACTTAAAATAGTTGTCATTAAGTCTGATGGAAGGTGTGTGTGTGTGTGTGTGTGTGTGTGTGTGTGTGTGTGTGTGTGTGTGTGTTCGCGCTACAGCTCCGTTGTGCTGCACAAGGACATCCGTGAACTGGACAGCGAGTCAGTACCAAAAGCAGACTCCGGGCTGAGACAGGGTAAGAAAGGTCGCCCCCTTGTGGTGGGATTTGCGTGGCTTGACAGAGAGAGAGGGATTATGGGATAGCTGTGCTGTGTATGTCCAAAAAGACCACTGGCAGAATCTCCATGTCTGTTTTTCTAACTAGTCTAACTGTTAGGCAAAAATGACTAATACATAGCAATAGATACTGAGATACGATAATGTAAAAACTGATAAAACTATACTTAAATTCGCAGAATGTTGCCTCCCCTCATTTTTGGTATGAACTGAAACTCCTCAAAGTGCCTATAATTTTTTGCACATCTGAGCTTAACATTATGAACGTGTTGAGGCTGCATCCCAGAGAACCGGCTCCGGTAGGGATCCCTTTCAAGACCCATTTCTCAGGCCTAAAAGCCACTCTCCAGAAAATGATGAATCCAGAGCCGTTCATTGTCAACTGCCACGGTCTATTAAAAAAGTGTCTCATTGACAGCCGATATTCACCGAGTCAGAACAGATCCTGCTATTACAATGTGGTCTTATCAGGTCGCTATAGTTACTTTCTCCGGTTAGGCATCACTAACACCGCACAGCCACCAGGGGGCGGAAGTCACCGTATCGCCCTCTGGGTCACAGGAACGGCATGTTCTGAGACTTCAGATGTACCGACTGCGATGGTGTAATGCAGCTCTCTTCTTTCGCATCAGCCCTGGAGGGGGCGCTGGCCTTCCAGCGGTGGGGCACGGTACCCAACACCTGGAGGACGGAGGTGAAGGATGAGAGCTCCAGCAGTGAGGAAGACGAGGGTGACGAGGAAGAAGAGCGTGAGGAGGACACCAGCAGCGAGGGGGAGGAGGTGCTGTCCGGCTTGCGTGCTGTGGGGCGTCGGGGCCCAGTGGTTTTACAGAAGTTGTATAAATTAGTGTAAAACTAAGCAGCAGCAAAGTTGAAGTGATTCTCGCAGAACTCGACGGCGAAGAGGCGAATCGCTAATCCCCGGCGGATACGGCATTCTCCCGGCCGCCACGAGTCTTCAGTTAGAAATCTCCTTAGCGGCAGTTCAGCTGTGTTTTTACGGCATACAGACGTTCTGTGGGGGGGTATTTAAAAGTTCTCGGGCAAATTTAAAAACAAGATTACAGAGTTCAGTCGGCTGAGCTCCGCAGAAGCTGCCCTGGTATTCCCTTCTTTGGGGAACCCCGGCACCGAGGCGTAAATCTGACATCACGCTGTGGGGAATCCCCCTACTCCCCCTGCTGGTGTAATTTTGGCCTTTTTTTTCCACACTTTCAGGAAATGTTTTTTTTTTTTTCCCCCCCCAAAAAAAGACAGCATCTTTAACAGAACACCCCCCCAGCCCAGCTTCCATAGCCTATTACTTATTACACAAGTCAGCAAGTAGTTAGATCAAAGGAGGCTTGTGGAGCATTTCTGGGTGGGGGGGGGGGGGGGGAGGGGAGGAGGGTGGGACATTGATGGTGGGACATTGACGTCGGCCCCGGCGAGGTCATGGAAAGTGCTTCTGCAAAAAGAGAAGGGGTTAGGGTATCAGAAGTAGCACATTCCTCATTTTGAAGTCCTTCACATTACAACTCAGCACATCATTTTCTGCTCCAGAAAAACTTCATGGTCCTTTTGCACTCGCAGTTCTATAATTTGCACCCCCCCCCCTCCCGCTGTGTGGTTAAATGACTGTAACTCTGCCAGCCACTTTTCCTTTACTCGTGCACATCTGTGGGGGGGTTGGGTTTGTAAACATGCCCACTGCCTGATTCATTTCCCAACCAAGGAGAAGGGGCTGTCCCTGGAGTGGGGGGGGGTGGCCCAAGGTCACCTGCTCTCCATTTCCTGTCCACAGGAGGAAGTGGAGCCCTTCCCTGAAGAGAGAGACAACTTCGTACAGCAGCTGTACAAGTTCATGGAGGACCGGGGTGAGTCTGCGATCTGATTGGCTGTGAGTCGCCCGGGAGATGTGTTGCCGTGGCTGCCGGATTTGGCACCTTTAACCACGTCTGTTTGACTCTAGGTACCCCCATCAATAAGAGACCTGTGCTGGGCTACAGGAACCTCAACCTATTCAAGCTCTACCGGCTAGTGCACAAACTGGGGGGGTTCGATAATGTGAGTGTCTGACCGCTGGGGTTCTATTCTTTTCGGCCAGTCCTGGGCCCTGCAATGGACCTGAAGTGCTTTTCTCCCTCCCCCTCCCAGATTGATAGTGGTTCGGTCTGGAAGCAAGTCTACCAGGACTTGGGGATACCGGTGCTGAACTCTGCCGCTGGCTACAACGTCAAGTGTGCCTATAGGAAGTAAGCCCCTCCCCCGCCCCCCACCCAAAGCCAGCACTGTGTGTTATACAGTGACCATGGCCAAAGTCTGCCCCCCATTTAATGAGGGTGATGCCTCTTTGGAGGAGTGATGCTGGCATTAGGCTGGTGGACGGTCCCCCGCACTCTGGCACTGTAAACCAGCTGCATGCAGACTGTGCCGCCAGTTTTCACCCCCCCCCACCCCCCCAGCGACACACACACGCGATCCCAGCAACAAGAGCCCCTCTATGCCTCAATCCTCGCAGCAGCTCAGCACCAGTCGGAGCCGGCCGGCAGTGCTGGATGGGGTCCCGTCCCGCCGGGTGCTCCCGCTTCCAGCTGACCGGCCCAGGCGGCGGCTCGGAAAGCTGCCGGCACGTGCCGGGATTCTCCCGCAAGCGTCGGCACGGCATGATTCATTCCCTTGATAAATGAGGTCAACTTAGGAAGACCCTGCCTCATAAGGAGGGACGTCCTGATTGGCTGCTTTGTCTGATTTGGTCTTTGGTCCTTAGGTACCTCTACGGCTTCGAGGAGTACTGCACCTCCGCCGGCATCTCTTTCCGGATGGATCTCCCCCACAAGCTGGAGCGGAGGGCGGAGCTGGAGGCGGGGAGTAATGCCCCCGCGATGCCGAGGAAAGAGGCGGAGTCAAAGGAGCAGCGGCCTATCACTGAGAGCCAGACCAGCGAGACACAGCCTACTGTATGCAAGGTAAGCATTCCCCCACCCCCCCAGCATCCCCCGTGTTCGGTTAGCTTACCGTCCGGTTAAGCAGTTTGAAGTTTAGTCGGGCAAAGTGTGGCTCAGCAGGTTAAGATTCTGTATCTTTGCCGACTGTAGGATTCGAACTGGTGACCTACTGATCAGAGTGACGTTACCGTTGGACTCTTGAATAGGGCCTTTAATCCACTATTGCTCCAGGGAATGTCTGACCCTACTTTCTCACAAAATGTACATCGCTTTGCATAAAAGTATCTGCTAAAGATGTAGCGTGGATTTTAGCCGTTTCCTTTCACAGACCCCCATTTATACAGCATTATTATATTATATATCTTATATTGGTTAAACGTGCTCCTTAAAGGTACAGCAGCAGTAACCTCATGGGACACTGCCATAGAAAGTAAGTCCACTTGCTCTAATAAAGAGAGCATCACGTCTGTGAGAATCACCCAAGCTCCCCCCACAGGGCGAGACGGAGGCCAGGCCGAGCCAAGCGGGGGCCGACGAGGATGAGGGCGAGAGCCCGAAGGCTGAGGAGGAGCAGAGGGGTGAAGGACAGGTGGGGGGCGAAGAGGAGGATGAGGAAAAGCCTTTGGGCCCCCGGGAAGAAATTGTCAAGCAGGAGCCTTTGGAGGAGGAGCAGGAGGAGGAGCAGGAGGAGGAGCAAGAGGAGGAGCAGGAGGAGGAGCAGGAGGAGGAGCAGGACAAGTCAGGGTAAGTGGGTGTCCTGAGGGTCGCCCGGCCCCAAGAGAATCCAGGCGGCTCTGAGGGGGGTGGTGTTGGCTGGGGGGGGGGTCCTGCTTCAACTCCCCTTTGCTCTGGGCGCGCTCGATGCTTCAGCTTTCCATCCGCATGACGAAACTACTGACAGAACTCAAAATCTGGAACCGAGCTGGGCAGCGCTGGAACCTCTTCTGCCCAGATGGGTGCTGGCGAGTGCTAGCAGGGTCTGGCTCCGCCCCCCCATGGCCCTTCCCTGTGCCAGGGCTCTCTGCTCTGGCCGCTGGCCCCCGTCTTTGTCCCCCCATCCGTGGGCCGAAGCTCCGTGATCTCAGCCTCTTTCCCAGGCTTCCGTCTCTCTGACTTAGCTGGATTCTGAGCTCCTGCTCACTACAAAGGCTGCACTCTAATTGGCCGGCTGGGGTCCTTTCCATTGGCTGTCGGCTCGAACCGCGCACGCACTTCCGCCTTCTTGCCGAACCAGCCCTGAAATCGGTCAGTGTGGTGAGCGATGTTTCCGTGGTGATTGCCGAAGGAGATTCTGCTTAGTAGATTATGGGATAGGCCAGGGGCTGCAGAAGACGGCGATGTGGCTTGTTGCCGTGTCAGTAGTGAGATGTCTAGATGCAGGAGGGAGGGGAAATGGACTGTCTGCAACGTCTTCCGGGTCATCTGAGGGCCAACGGTCAACAGGGTGACACCCCGCCCCCCCACCGGTACCCGTTTCTTGTTCTGGATTTAGCGGCGACATTTCAGTTCTCGTGATGGCTGTGTCAGAGTGTGCTGTGTGTGGGCAGGGGAGGCTCTGATTGGTTCATAATTTATGTGCATTGCTTGTCCAAACAACAATTTGCATTTAAATCCACTCAGAACACCCTCCAGAGCTGCTTTATGTTTTTGTATTGTTTTGTATTTTGTACAATTTACTGGTGGACAGTATATTAGTGCAGGACAAGGGCTACAGCAGAACTTCTGGGACTCGAACCTGCAGCCACAGGCTGGCGCGACTCGTCCTGTGGTGATGGGGGGGGGGCGGCTGTCTTGCAAGTTGATCACAGGCCTTTTGGCACAGCTAGCCTGTAGCAGTGAGGTCACCTGAGTGAAACGGAAGCTGTCACACATCCTATTTTTGTTGATCTGCCCCCCTCCCTCCCCCATTGGCACTTGTTGCTACAACTGTCACGCTTTGCTTTGTAAAATGGGTGCAGAGTGTTCCCTCCCACTGCTGGCTTGCTAACTCTCCATACTGCCCCCCCCCCCCATGCTTTAACTTTGAAAGCTTACAAAAG